AATTTGTATGCTCACTGAGGAAACTAGACCACTTTCTACACCTAAACAACAAGCCTTCTTCATTGGTAGGAATGTGCTAGATGCAGAAATTTGTTCTTTTAATAATGTCACAATTTTAGAGATGGAAGCAAGGTAAAGTACCAATGATTTCTAGACTGATCATTTTTGCATTCTGTATTCATAGTACTTTATATTCAGTTTTCCAATTTAACAGCAAAGTTGCATGAATACAGTGAATTGATTATGTGTCTCACTCTGTTTATATTATAGTTTATACAAGTCCTCATTTTTATTTTATTTTTGTAGATTTGAAATGCTTCTGTTCAAGCACTATACCTCTTTGCTAATATTTATTCTTCAATCATGATTGGTACCAAACCTGTATAAGGTAAGGTCACATTAGGTTCACAAGCTAGTGATAAATAATGACAAAGCATTATGAATTGACAACTGAAAACATGAATTTGAATACATGGTGTAAGTCAGTAAGTTTTTTTTTAAGTAAGTCGGTTGAATTTATTTATTGGTCTCCAGAATATTCTTCAAACTTAATGGGTGGATTGTTGAATTAACAGGCACTCTAATTGTAGATTGATGCTCATGCATATTAAACCATGACTTTGGTTTTTAACAGATATACATATAATGATCTCTGTACCTAAGCATTTGAAAAGATCATACAATTTGATTCTTGACAATATCTTTACTTAACAATGATGATTTATGAATCTATCTTCTACCTCTATACTGTAAGAGTAACATGCCACTTCGTCAAGATAATGTGTCTATCTAGAAAGTGGTAGGGGTTCCTCTCAAGACCTATTCATGTCTTCTTCATTTGAGAATTTGAAGAAGAAATATCCTTTTTCATTACACATACAATACCTCTTGCAAGCCATCAGATTTCCATAGTCTGATAGTAATAGAGTTAACCATCGGAAAGGGGAGCCTTTTGTTAATGAAATAACCGACAAGACATGCATTTTGTTGATGGCAACTTAGCAATTCATAAAGGCCAGGACCCTCTCAAGACAAATATAGCAATAGAGTTAACCATCAGATTTCCGTAGTTTCAAAGCTCACCAGCCATTATGGGATAAAGAGAACACTGGAAAACGCTCACCCTACATATCTTTCTTTTTAGCTCAATTGTTTAAGAGAGAGGAGTGCGTGTTACACTTATTTATGTTGATGGCAACTTAGCTATGGACTTCTCATTTACATACTATTGTATACTTCATTTTCAAAGAACGTGTAAAACACAAGTTTAAGTACTGAATAACGTTAATTGTTTGCGAATGGTGAATACTATTAAAGGAGTTCGGAACATTAAGTGGCGGAAATGGCTTGCCATTTCGGTAGGAGGAGCTCTAGTTATAATTTTATTTTGCTACTTGAACTATTTAGGATTGAGAAATGTAGTAAAAAAAATAATAAATAAAATAAAATAAAATTATTTGAGCTTGGAGTTCCTACAAAATATAAGGACAAGAAAAAGGGCCATGAGTTGCAAGTATCCATCTTCCAAGGCATAGTGGTTGCTACAAACAATTTCTCAAATACAAATAAAATTGGAGAGGTGGTTTTGGACCTGTTTATAAGGTAAATTCTGGAGACCTTCTTATCAAAATGATTTGGATATTTATAATTTTTTTAAATATCTCAGGGCAAAATTCCTGATGGACAAGTTATAGAAATAAAAAGGGTTGGAGTTCAGGACAAGGAGTGGTGGAGATCAAGAATGAGATTTTACTCGTTGTCGTGCTCCAACACAATTGGGCTTCTGGAATGTTGCATTGAAGGAGAAGAAAAACAGCCAATCTTTTATTTTTTTATTTTTTTTTTATAAATAGGAGTATATTATAAAGCATCTATGTTACATGAACTTGAGTACGAGTATCGGACATGGGTATGTATCCATGTGTCGGACGTGTCAAATCTCCAAATAGAAGGACACACGAACACAGGTAAATATTTATGTTATTAATTATTTTATTTTATTTTCTATAGTAAAGTAATGTTTTTATCTAATATAATGTTCAATATAGACATTTAACTCTTTTTAAAATAATAATGTAATGTAATTGAATGATTGGATATATTTTTTAAGTACATGTCTAACCAAAAGTGTCGGACACATATCCCATACCCATGTCCGTGGGATATGTGTGGACATGGGTACTTCACTACTTTTGACGAGTCCATGTAACAGAGGAAAGCGTTCAAAAGGGAAACGCATCCCGGGCACTATACAAGGCCGAAGCCAAATAAAGAGTCCTACGGACTCAAGGAATCCAAAAACTCAACAATCTCCTCTATAAATTTACAATTTCTCCTCATAACCCAACTAAAAAGAGAACTAGTACAATGAAAATTCAAAGTCCCGATTGAAGATTTCTCCCCGTCAAAAAATCTTCTATTCCACTCCTTCCAAACACACCACCAAACACAAAACGGAACCGCCCACCAAAAATCACGAGCATGGGCTCCCACAAAACAGCCTCTACAAGCATCAATCAAACCCCTCGAAGACCGAGGCATGACCCAATGGACACTGAACAAACCAAAAATAAGGCTCCAACTGTCGTATGCCATAAGGCAATGCAAGAAAAGATGATCCACCGACTCCCCATCCCTCTTACACATACAACACCAATTAACAGTAACTCGTCTTCTCCTTCACAGATTATCCATGAGTACATGCCCAACCTAAGCCTGGATTCCTTCTTATTCGGTTAGCAAGTTGCAATAATATAAGTTTTTCCATATTGTAGATTATCAATCATAAGCTCATACATATATACATTCTACAAATTAATTCCATGTACATATCCTAGTAAAAAGTTATACTTATGTTGGAAAAAATGTGTCGCCACCATCATTGCTGAAGGATTTCTTTACCTTCACAAGTATTCAAGATATATTGAGAATAATCCATAGAGATTTAAAAGACAATAATGTATTACTTGATGAAAAATAAACCCAAAAATATCAAATTTTGGCATGGCCATAATATTTGGGGAAAATGAATTTGAAGCAAGCACAAAGAGGGTTGTTGGAACATAGTGAGCAAATATTACATCTACAATGTCATGGTAACATATTTTATTTGTATGTACCCTAAGACTGACAATTTCCTCAACTATTGCTGCAGTGGTTACATGCCTCCGGAGTATTCAATGGTTATATGTTTAGCTTTGGAGTCTTGTTGCTTGAGATTTGTTAGTGGGAAGAAGAATTATAGTTGCTATCATTTTGAATGCCCACTCAACCTTATAGGATACGTAAGTTTCTTAATAAAATCTTAATTTTCTATCTAATTTTCTGGTTAAAACTATTTGATTTCTACTCAAAGTTTCACATACCATGACTTTTTCTATAACTTGGATAATATTTGAGGCATGGGAATTCTGAAGAGAAAATGGAGGATTAGAGTTTATAGACCAAATATTGTACAATTTATTCAAAGTAACGAATTGTTGAGATGCATTCATATGGGTCTCTTATGTGTACACGCTAATCCTATAGATAGACCATGTCAGATGTAATTTTTATGCTCACTGAGGAAAAACTAGACCACTTTCTACACCTAAACAACAAGCCTTCTCCATTGGTAGGAATGTGCTAGATGCAGAAATTTGTTCTTTTAATAATGTCACAATTTCAGAGATGGAAACAAGGTAAAGTACCAATGATTTCTGGACCAAACATTTTTGCATTCTGTATTCATAGTGCTTTATATTCAGTTTTCCAATTTAATAGCAAAGTTGCATGAATACAGTGAATTGATTATGTGTCTCACTCTATTTATATGATAGTTTATATTAGTCCTAATTTTTATTTTATTTTTGTAGATTTGAAATGATTCTGTTCAAGCACTATACCACTTTGCTAATATTTATTCATCAATCATGATTTGGTACCAAACCTGTATAAAGTGAGGCCACTTTAGGTTCACAAGCTAGTGATAAATGACGAGGTTTTATGAATTGCCAACAGAAAACATGAATTTGAATATATGGTGTAAATCGGTGTTGTTGTTGTTGTTTTTTTTTTTTTTTTTTCAAAGTCGGTTGAATTTTTATATTGGTCTCAAAAATATTCTTCAACTTAATGGGTGGATTGTAGAATTAACAGGCACTCTAATGGTAGATAGCTCATGCGTATTAGACCATGACTTTTGTTTTTAACAGATAGCATATAATGATCTTTGTACCTAAACATTTGAAAAGATCATACAATTTGATTCTGGAGTGTTGTCCAAGTTCAAAAAAGGGTGGAAGAAGACTTTTCTAAATAGGCATGCCTTCACAACAATGGTAAGTAGGCCGACTCTGTATGTACCAATCAAAGAAGCATATGATCTTCAAACAATTATTATCATTACACTGGTAGTGATATGAAAATCCCTTCAAACAATTTTGCATTGTAAAGTGTGATTTTATACCACTCAACTTGGGGAGCATATCAAGAACAACAATGGTAAGTAGGTCGACTTTGTATCTCAATTTTTTAAACCGACTTAACCACAACTATTAGATTAGTGGGATCTGCTCATTCAATAGGATTATAATTTAGTCGGTCTGGAGACTCGGTCAACAAAGTAGTTTGAAATATTTATGGATAACAACCTTAGTTTGTGTGGACTAGCATTGAGGAAAAGTACATAAAACTTCATCTGCAAACGCAACTAAAGTAAGGAAATCCACCACACAAAATATTTCATACTAGACACTATGAAAGTCAATAATCAAAATTGTCCCAGTGTTGGCAATTTTATAATATTCTATTCTTGCAAAGGAGCATAGTGGACATGGTCAAGCATAAAATATGGTCTCTAGAATTTAAGCAAATACCAAGAGGGTTTGTGCTTGTAGAGATCGATTCAACCTCTGATCAAAAGGATATATCTTGGTTATATTTCATCTCTTCTCTAGAATTTAAGCAAATACCAAGAGGGTTTGTGCTTGTAGAGAGAATAGGTCTGCGGGACAATATCTTTACTTAACAATGATATCTATGAATCTGTATCCAATGTCCAACGATATGAAAAAAAAAAACGAAAAAAACAAAAAAACAGAGGGCCAATCTAGTATCAGAGAACAGAGGGCCCCCAAAGTGGAAATAGTATCAGTCATAGTTGATAACTCTTTTCTATCAATCCCACAATAGAAATAGGGTGAGACAATGCTCTCCACATAGGTCACGGCTAACTTCTGGTACCCGTTCAATGGAATGCCATCCACCATTATATACCTCAATCTTTTTTCTTTAACATTGTACATAACTAATATATCTTCCTCTATTTTCTCATCTTCATCCATTTCCTCATCATACAATTTCAACAAAAGTTCGTTATCCAGCGGCACACATAAGGGTTCCAAATTGTACATATTATCAGGTATATAGATTGTAAATTTGGTCCATGACTCGGTAACCCCATACTCTTCCATCACCCAAATATCAAATTGGACAGCATAATCATGTTCCTTATAACAGAAGAGACACCCTCCAAGAACCCCCAAACCACTTGGTGCATGTGCTTTAGCAGGCAGCAAAATTCCATGTGAGTTAGGCAGCAAAACATCTCGGAATTTCTCGTCTGCTACATCAAAAGCAACAATCACAGGTGAATGATCCAAAGCCCTATTCGTCAACCAATGTATAGACCCATTTACAAAAACACCAGAGCAAGGCAGGAGAAAAGAATTATCATAAGGGAAGTCTTGGATCCATCTCCTCCGCCAAGAACTAGTTTTGAGTGAATGGACAACAACAAATGTATCCTTGTAATTATCCATAGACGAATCGTACCCAAGTCCATACATGCAGAACCGAAAATTGTAATCTGGTAATTTCTTGAACTCTCTAGTTGACGGATTACACAAATACATGGGGTAGTCGTCGCGTTTATTCAGATTATTCAGAACAACTAGAAGCAAACCGTTGCAAGAAGCCACGATATCGGTGACCAAGTTTGGGTCTTTGTCTTTGATCAGAGGATAATCAAGCTTCATTGCAATTACGTCATCGTTATTGGATGCTTCAGTGCAGTCGATGGAATAAAAATAGTCAGAAACTAGAAAAACTCTCTTGGGTTTGTCGTTTCGATTGAGATGTGTTTTGGCAAAATTAGGGCTTGAGATGAGAGCAAACCATGACTTCGATACACACTTGAATCGGCAAAGACACTTCGCGGGGAGTCGAGACAGTATATCAACAACCATCTCTTCGGGAAGGAATGCGCAGATCGGCATCGCCACCTTCGCTGGCGGAAAGGGAAAAACGGAAAACTCCTAAGTCAAAAAAAAGAGTCCCCGTCTTATACAGTATAAATAATGAATAAATAAATAAAATTTATGGTATTTTTTGTTTCTCCTCACAAACAAACTATCCAAAATTGAATATGTACAAAAAGACTTCTCGTACAAAAAGAGTCTGATAGACAAAGTAGAAAGAGTCCTTTCCTATATAGTATAAATAATAAAGAAAATTTTTTTTGTTTCCATCACAAACAAGAAACTAAAAACTCTACAAAATTAAATAGATGTTCATTCCCATCATAAATAGGAAACTAAAGCTCTCCAAAATAGGATATGACACTTCTCCTCAAGTGTGTTATCTGGACTATTACTTTTTCTCTAAAGGCAAATTCATTACGTAGAACTTTAATAGAATGATTAAATTATAGACTAAAAATTTCTTAATATAAATTTTTAAACAATAAATATTTAGCTTATATATAATATAGAAAATATTGTATTTGCATAGTTCTATAAATTTTTACTTTGTAAATTTAAATTTATGGAACAGCATTTATATTTATGAAACACAAGAATAAGTAATTTTCTATTTGTTCCAATTTATGAGGGGAAAGAGAAAGCACCACATTTTTCTTTTTTTTTTATTTTTTTTTTTTTTCCTTTTCATTTATACAGACCATGCTTGGGTCCTCCATCTAGGAGGATGATCTAGGAGGATGAAGATCATCCTCTATCAATATGATGGCGGTGAAATGTCATTGGAACATGTGTTTAAAAAATTAAAAAATTCCCATTTTTTTTTGTTTTTTATTAGCGACGCAGCTACACTCGGGACTCTCCTCTATCTTCCTTTCTCTCTCCACAGCGTTTTTTTTTTTTTTTTTTAGCAACACGATCTGGCATATCTTTTGTGGTTTTTCTTTTCTAGTTTCTCCAATGGTTTGTGGTTTTTCTTTTCCAGTTTCTCCAATGGTGAAAGGTTGACACTTGACAATAGTAGATGGCGATACAATGATACTGATGATGCTACGATGTTCACAACTATCCCCAGATGTTCTTAAGTTTCTTTTGTGACTTTAAGTTATTTTGGTTTATTTTGTTATGGGATTGTATTTCTGAATTTCTTAGTGAAGCTCATGCCGTATCTATTATTATCTTATTATTTGTTGTGTTTTACTATGGTTTCATCGTATTAGAGGATGCTCCTTTTTCTGGAATTTATATTTTAAATCATATTTATCTTACAAAATTAAAAATTAAAGCAAGTCATAAATGGGTGATTGATCAAAACTGAGTTATGTGGGTTGTGCTACCCAAATAAGGAAAATAAAAGTAGGTTATAAATTGGTGACAGATAAAAAAAAAAAAAAAAATGAGTTATGTTGATTGTGCGACCCAAATAAGGAATTTCATGTCGTGCCGTGCCGTGTTGAATTTTAACCCATTTATTAAACATGTTAAATGTGTCGTGACCTATTTATTAAATGTGTTAAATGTGTCGTGACCTATTTATTAAACGTGTTAAATGTGTCGTGTCATGTTAACACGGTTTATAATAGTGTTGTGTTCGAGTCGGGGGTTTTGACACGATTAATAATTGTGTCGTGTTCGGGTCGATCCTAATCTTGTTCGTATTGTGTTCGTGTCGATTCAAATGTTGTTCGTGTCGTAATCGTGTCAACACAAGCATAACTCGCCAACACGAATTGCCACCCCTCCCCACTAAAGTTCCTCATTTTGCTCTACCATCCATATGTTCTTTTGATGGATGGATTTCTACTGGGAGACCATTGCGCTTTTTTCATTCTGAGCCAGTCTAGCTGCTGTTTTCTTCGGCTAATTGGCAAACAAGTACATTGTCAAGCAGATGCCAAAAATTGTATAAAAATGGTGGCATATGCAATATGGCAAGGATAATGATGACACATAATATGAATACAACGAAATTAATAGAATAGAACCATGTATTTACCTATAATATCACTACTTTTTTCTATCTATCCCACAGTGGAAATAGGGTGAGACAATGCTCTCCACATAGGTCACCGCTGACTGTTGGTAACGGAATGAGTCAGTGCTCTTCAATGGAATGCCATCCACCATTATATACCTCAATCTTTGTTCTTTATCATTGTATATAACAAATATATCTTCATCCATTTTCTCATCTTTATACCACTTCAACAGAAGTTCGTTATCCAGCAGTACACATAAGGATTCCAAACTGTACATATTTTTAGGTATATCGATTGTAAATTTGGTCCATGACTCACTATCCCCACACTCTTTCATCACCCAAAGATCATCATTTTCATTACAGCAGAAGAGACACCCTCCAAGAAGCCCCAAACTCCCTGGTTCATGTGAGGTAGGCAGCAAAACATCCCGGAATTTCTCGTCTGCCACATCAAAAGCAACAATCACAGGTAAATGAACCAAAGACCTATACGTCAACCAATGTACAGACCCATTTACAAAAACACCTGAGCCAGGCACGATAAAAGAATTATCATAAGGGAAGTCTTGGATCCATTTCCTCCCCCAAGAACTATTTTTGAGTGAATAGACGACTACAAATGTATCTTTACAATCAGATTCCCGATCTTCACGAAGAAGATGTTGGGCATAGTAGGAAACTGCTACAACCTTGTAATCATCCATAGACGAATCGTATCCAAGTCCATGCATGCAGAGCCTGAAATATGGATCGACCCCAAAATCGTAATCTGGTAATTTCTTGGACTCTCTAGTTGACGGATTCAACGAATGCATGGGGTAGTCGTGGCGTTTATCCACTCTAACTAGAAGCAAACCGTTGCAAGAAGCCACGAAATCGTCGAATAAGTATGGGTCTTTGATCCAAGGGAAATCAAGCTTCATTGCAATTACGTCATCGTTATTGGATGCTTCAGTGCGGTCGATGGGCAAAGACACTTCGCGGGGAGTCGAGACAGTATATCAACAACCATCTCTTCGGGAAGGAATGCGCAGATCGACATCGCCACCTTCGCTGTCGGCGGTCAGGGCTCAGTGGAGTACTGATAGGCGAAAGAGAAAACGCTAAAAGCCACCGTAGAATTAAAAGGAAATAGTATAAATAAATAAAAAACATATATTTAAATCCATATATATAAATATACTATTACTGCTAAATAATTTTCATAAAACTTTATTGCAAATTATCTCTATAAAATTCTATTATAAATTACCTATTTTATTTTTTATAAATTTTTATAGAACTCTATCACATATAACCTATTAACTTATATTGTTATTTAACTATTTCTTATTTTTAAAACTATTTATTATTTTTAAAACTCTAACACAAATTAATTACATATTTATCTATTTATTATTAGTTTTATAAAATTCTATCACAAATTATCTATTTTATTTTCTTTAAAACTCTATCACACCTAACCTCTATTTATCTATTTATTAAATAAAATAAATATTGCAGTATTTATTTATTATTATATAAAAATATTTATCAATTGATATAAAAATAATTTTTAGAATAGTTTCTATAAAACTCTAACACAAATTACCTATATATCAATTTATTATGAGGAGTTGTTTAATAAAAGCAAATCTAATTAGACAAAGGTATATTTTAAAAAAATTAAAATATTTTATATAAAACTCTGCCACAATTATCTATTTTATTTTTAATAAATTCTATCACATATAACTTGTATTTATCTATTTATTATTTTTAAAAGAGTCGATGAAACTCTAACGCAAATTACCTATTTATATATTTATTATGAGTTTTTTAATAAAAGAAAATTTAATTAGACAATGATATATTTAAAGAAAGTAAAATAATTTCTATAAAACTTTACTAAAAATTACTTATTTCTATAAAACTCTACCACAAATTATTTATTTTATCTTCTATAAAACTCTATCACATATAACGTATTAACTTATATTGTTATTTAACTATTTATTGTTTTTTAAAATAATTTAAAATTCTAACACAAATTACCTATTTATCTATTTATTATGAGTTTTAATATGAGAGTAATAAACTGAAACCTCAGGGGATGTGAAATCATTTAGCCCAAACATTTATATACAGTGAGGCACAAAGTTAAAGAAATTTCAATTTTCAAAATTAAAGAAATTTTTATTATGAGTTTTTTAGTAAAAGAAAACCTAATTAGACAAAATAGGAAATTAAAAACTCTTCAAAATTGAATATATACAATATTTCTCCTCAAGTGTTACCTTTACTTTTTTTCTAAAAGACAAATACATTTTGTAGAACTTTAATAGGATGATTAAATTATAAATTAAAATTTCATTAAAATAAATTTTAAAATAATAAATATTTAGTTTATACATAATATAGATAATATTATAAATTTTTACTTTGTAAATTTAAATTTATGAAATACGGGAATAAATAATTTCCAATTTTGTGAGGGAAAAGAGAAAGTATCGTATTTTTAATTGTATTTGTACATAGATTTGTGTTAAAAGATGTAACATCGGGGAAATGATTTTCAGAATCTGAATCATTTATAACCTTCAAATGCGGGTTTCTAATAGAATCCAACATGATGCATCTAAAGGTGGAATATAATTCGGTCAAGCAAATTTGGATAGAATGGCATAACTCATCAAACGTTAGTGATAACTCTTACTTCCATCGGGGCAGACGCCTTTTGAAAACCGAACACGTGTAGTGCAATATTCCTATAATAAAAATAAAAAATTAGTCCAAGCAGTCCTTATTCTACCACCCAAAATTTCAGTACAGTAAAGGATATAGCAACTAAAATCTCCCATTATGCTCCATTGAGATGCTGAGGTGGCATCATCTGGACTTGCATAAAACCTCAAAAAAATAATCTGGTTGCCCATTCTACTATCCCCTTGAGCTTACATTAACATCTATTACCTCCATCGTTGCACTTTTTTGTTGTCTATTGAACCCAAAAATAATAATTTTTTCAAAAAATAAAAATAATAATAACAATAACAATAATAATAATAATAATAAGGCCACATTAACATGTATTAATGCACGTGCTGCAAACGGTAAATGAGGAAGGAAGTTTCATTCAACCGTATTGTAAATTTGAGGATGAACAAGGCAGAAAATGAGCACGTGTTACTATTCAGACAAAGAAAATAAAGAGAGAAAAAAATAAATAAATAAAGAGAGATGAAGAAAATGAGCACTTGTTGTATAAACACCGATTAGAAAATTCTCTCTTCCGAAAAAGAAACCAACTTAAATCAGGTGTTACTATGCTATAACACGAAAAACAATACAAATATGTGCCAACATCAAACAAAACTGTTATAATCACTACATGAACATGTTAAAACTTCAAAAAAAAAAAAAAAAAAAACCATGACACAACTTCAAAATGAAAAGCAATAGAACTTCAATCCAAGGAATATCTAAGAGATCTGCGACTTAAATATGGTAGAACCAAAGCTACACTTGAGGCTTCCACAACCAATACATTTTTCTAGAAGACGAGGGCAGGGATTCAAGCCCAGCATGGGCAAAAGTGTGTGTGAGTACCTGATAAAAATAAAAATACGGAGTAAAACATAAGAATAAGAAAAACTAACACCTTTTCCTTTTGTAACCCTGCGTGAATGTTTTCCTTGCTGTTTGACCCTCGAACATGCCTTTTTGTAAATGGGCATTTCTAGAAGCCCAATGGACTTGAGGCAATCCAAGCAATCTGATAGGGATATAGCTGGAAACCTCCTCAATGCTCTTTGAACTTGAATCCAATCTATCCTGGCTCTAAAGGCTTCAACCATTGACTAGAATTCCATAAGCAAAAGATTGTTTGTTTGGTCAAAGACAACCAAAGAAACATTTTGCAAATTAAACAGAGTACAGAAGAGACCCATGTAGATCCACACATGCATGCTCCTAAAATATCATCGTTTGGATATCATAGTTTAGTCGTGTATAAATCGAGAAATGAAAGAAAACAAGGAATATCAAATGGCTAACAAACATAGAAACGATATCTAGATAATCCGGGCACAAAATCCGAACCTTTGTACATAGATTATATAGTTTTTGCATTCTTTGGCTAGTTCACCTAATTCAAACAAGGAAGAAACAAGGATTAAATAGCATTGTTCTGAGCTTTTTAGTAACATCCCATGCATGATGCCATGGTCAGCCTAACTCTTACAGTTGCTCGTGCCAACACACTACACTCGTGTTGTAGTGCATCACGCCCTCCACTCGGCTTGCACACTCACACACACTTGGGCATTCACATACCCTTAGGCAGTTGTTGGCAAGAGGAATAATACTTCTATTATTACTCAAGTGTTGTACAAGGCTCTCTAACTCCTGAGCTTGCTGATTATAAATGACCATATCACCTATTTATAGGCCTCCTTCCTACTCTCTAGAACTTCTACATTCATACCCTACATATTTACACTCTACAAAACTCTCTACTATTGTAGAATCTTCTTTACTTCTCTACAACTATTTACAAGTTCTCCAACATTTTAGAATTTTCCAACCCTCTCCACAATACTTCACAACTCTACACAATTCCAGAAGATTCTAGAACTTTTACTATACTCTACTCTTCTCTTGCCATACAGACACCTCCTTAGTGCATATGAGTTGCTTACGTGTCGTAATCTCCCTGCAATTAGGTGGGGCATGACATTCTCCCCCACCCAATTCCTTTTTTTTTTTATGATAAATAAATAATTCGTTAAAAAAAGGTTCAAACGGGGAACGCATCCCTAACAAACCACAAAAACCTGGGTACCCTAAGGCCCCAAGGAAGCCAAAAATTTAATAGTCTCCTCAACAGAAGAGCAGAGTCTACACAAACCCCCAAAACAAAGAGAGATAATAAAAGAAGATTTCAGAACAATAATGGAAGATTCCTCTCCTTCAAAAGATCTTCTATTTTGCTCCCTCCCTAAACAACACCAAAGACACAAAAGGCGCCATCCTCCAGAACCCTCGAGCCTACGCTCCCACCCAACCCCCTCTCCAGGTGTCCATCAGACCTCTCGTAAATCTAGGCATGACCCAACAAACTCCAAATAAACCTAGCAAAAGGTTCCAACAACCAACCGCCACTGGACAATGCAAGAGAAGATGATCCACTGACTCGCCATTGCACTTACACATACAACACCAAGCTACCGTGATAAGCTTTCTCCCTCTCAAATTATCCAACATCAAAATTTTACCCCACACAACCATCCAAGCAAAAAAGGCTATTTTCAATGGCGCCTTAGTGCGCCGCACAGCCTTCTACAAGAATACCACCCAATCTGAGTCCACCAGGCATCCGAAAAAAGATTTCACACTAAACATTCTTCGAGTAGAAGGAATCTAAACTAGAGCATCCCTACCTCCTCCCCAAATCACCTGGCTATACAACAACTCTAAAAAGCCAAACACATCATCCATCTCCCAATCCTGAAAAAATCGCTGAAACAACACATCCTAAACCGGTCTCCTGCTATCAAGACGATAGCAGTCAGCCACCAAGGCATGCCTAGCCACCGCAATCCTAAACAGTCTAGGAAAAGAGCATTCTAGCATCCGGTCTCCATACCACATATCCTCCCAAAACCGAATCTCCCTACCATTATGAACTTTGAATCTGATATGCTTAGAAAACTCATTCCAACCCTTCCGAATATCTTTCCAAACACTGACACCTCCAGGTACAGACACCATAGTCGAACACCCCCCCCCCCCCATCCTCCCCAAAATGACATAATATCACCCTCCTCCACAATCTATCCCGCTCCATACCAAACCTCCACAACCACTTACCTAACAAGGCCTTGTTAAAAGAAAACAATTACTTAATCCCAACTCCTCCACACTTAACAGGCTTACACACCTG